GTGTTCCACTTCCACATCTGTTTTAGGGTTTCGAATATTAGGCTTGCGAAATGGGAGGTCCCGCCGGCAGCTCTAACTTTCTTTTCCCTGCGAAGAAATCAATCAATGATGTACCCTCTGCTTATGCATGACCTCTTCTGAACATTCCACTATAAGGTTTCCCAGTCGCGTCGCTCCATTTCCAGACCTGGTTTTTCAACCAGAACTCGACGGTCAAGCACCATTACCTGAGATCGAGGTCGAAATTTTTTTATAGCCGAGACATTGAAAAACTAGTAGAATTTCAAAGAACAAGTCATGACTAAGTTAGGAATGTACGCCTGGTTGATTTTCTCATCTTCTCAGGGATAATTTTTTCAAAGAAATGCGGTCACTTTCGTGGATAAAGCACCTTACTCCTAAACACCTAAAATTCGAGCTAATTCCAACAAACATTAAAACAAAACAAATGAGCGAATAGAGCAGAAGAAGTGCTCACAAAAGAACACCACTTGATATAAAACAATAGCGTTTCAGAGGAAGAATTTCAATTTGAAAATTGCCATGGCTTATCGGTCGGCCAATTCGAAAAGAAACAGGGCAAACCTTTTTCGGCAACCTAAGGGTGGAATGTTCAGAAGAGGTCATGAGTAAGTAGAGGGTACATCATTGATTGATTTCTCCCAGGGAAAATAAAGTTAGAGCTAGTTGTCGGTTTGGTCAATTTTTGTCGGCTGGACCTCCCATTTCGCAGGCCTAAAATTTGAAAACCTGGAACATAGGTGGAAGAGAACATAATCTTGTAGAGCAGACAATTCTCTTTCGAATGGTATATGACCGATGTAAAAGCATGGGGATTTAGATGAAAATTTTTTGGTTGAAAAAAAGCGACACTATTTATGAGACAACCTAATAGAAACACATCAGGGTATACATCTCAAATTAAGCAGCCACTTAGACCTACCATCTTTACTTGTGAGGTGCTTTTGCAAGTGGACACTTTTGCAGGTAATGAATAACTATGAACGGGTCGACGAATGATCGCATTAATTTCAGACCAGATTGGTCCCCCGGCAACCACCGGGACCTCCTTACCTGCGTAAGCTTTACTCCTTCCAATGTGCTCCCATCCACTGGTGACATGGACACCTCGTGGAGGTGGCACGCATGCACAAAAAAGTGTCTTATATAGTAGAAGGCATTACCGTAATCGTGACATGACCTTAGAATGATATTAATTGGA